TTCCAGACTCAATCGCATCCCAGAGGTCCTGGCGGTGGTAGTCGGCATTCTTGCCCGAAACGATCTGGGCTTCCTCCCAAACCAAGCTGGCCTTGCCCTGTTTCGTCTTCCAATGCCACTTGATAAGTTTCGACTTGCCGTCGTCTGTTACCGCGCGGAAAGTGTGTACACCGAAGCCATCCTAGTAGCGTTAGTCAAAATTGGCGGCTACAAAGCTGTATCTCTACTCACCATGTGTCGGTAACTTCTCGGGATACCGTAGCCAGCCATAGCCCAGAACAAGGTGTGAAGAGTCGTGGTCTGAGAGCTGAAGAAGTCCCATGCGGAATCATGAGCTGTCGCAGCTTGCGGGATCTCATTGTCCCCGCGAGGTTTTCTGCGAGGGTCACGACGTTAGTATTTGAGACGACAGCGCATGTGGGAAAAGGCTACAGCAAGTCTTACACTGCATGAATCAAGTCTGGGAACTACAAAAAGTTAGCTCATGGTGTTCGTAGTAGCTAGCATTGGAGATTCTTGAACTCCATACTGGAGCTCGCTCGGAAGGGTATAATTGACTTACCTGAATCGCGTCCTGGATGAAGAACACCGGGATGTTGTTTCCCACAATATCAAAGTTGCCCTCGTCAGTAAAGAATCGAGTGGCGAAGCCGTGAACATCTCTGGCAGTGTCCGCACTTCCTCTTGATCCAGCAACGGTAGAGAACCGCACAAACGTCGACGTTTGCTTTCCCGCTGCACCCAGAAAGGAAGCGGCCGTGAGGTTGCTATAGTCCCCATAGCTCGTAAAGGTTCCGTAGGCACCGGCGCCGCGGGCGTGAACAGCTCGTTCAGGTACCTGTAAGATAGAACCGTCAGCCAGGAGAGTCCAATGGAAAGGACACAAATAGGACTCACCCTCTCATGGTCGAAGTGTGTAATCTTTTGGCGAAAAATGAAGTCCTCCAACAGAGTCGAGCCACGGACGCCAGCCTTCAAGCTGACTTGGTCCTCGATTGGGCCACCGACGTCGGATGTGAGGTATGGATCGCCTGTAGAGTCGTCGACCTCGTAGCCGGAGACATGGCCGCGAGAGCCGTCGTCGGTTCGAGCTTTTATGTTGGAGGGGTCTGCAAAGGGACAGCCGGCAGAAGAGAGCGTAGCCAGGCCGAGACCGGCCAGCAGGAGGGTGGTATGCATGTTGGACTAGCGATCAGAATGATGCCTGTATGCCTACGCGAGTAGTCCACTCAATTGACGATGAACAATTGAGTATGCAGGAGAAGCGTTTCCTGGTCTCGAGGGGTAGAGAAAGGGGATAGCCGTTGGATAAGTCAACAGTACCGAGGGACGGAAGACTACTTAAGAGCTCCAGAGACTTGGGTTGACAGGCGGAGCTTTGTCTGAGCTACCGATACATCCTACAGAACAACAGCAAGGGGGAGGCAGGGAGCTCGATGAAGTCAACAAGAAGTCCCGATCTGGGAGGAGAAAGACCGTCGGCGCACAAACTTCAAGGATTGTTACTGCTCCTGCTAATCCTGGACACGGTGAGGCAACCATGGCAGGAGAGCATCTTTGCCAGGTCGGACCGGGGAAAGTACACTAGTAACGCTTGCCCAGAACAAGTCCACATCCACATCCCGAGGAGGAGGAGAAGGTGAGCACGACGCGCTGCTGCCTCTTCCAAATAGGTGTGCCAGGACGTAGGATGAGGAGTGATAGCATCATAATCATCTCAGGTACTTCTCCACTAAACTACAGAGAGAAGGGCCAGAGTGAAAAGAAGAGGAGGGGCTTGCTACCAGTGCTGTCAGATTAGAAATCCTCTGGTGTGATTCAATGGAGAAGCGCCCACGGCCCCGGGAGCTCTGATGTTGTGTCATGGTAGCTTGCCTTGGCCTGCATTTTTGTCTCACGGCCGAGGCCGACAAAACGTCGACGGCGTACGGGGGTACCACTAGGTAGGGAACATGAGCCAGCCACGCTGCCAGCTAACACAATGAGGAACTCTCTCATCCGCGGACCTCTTCCCTCCTTCAAACGGCTTTTTCCTTCTTCTCATACAATGGGGTCGATCAGTGTTGCTCACTGAAAACACAAGGTAGCCACCGGAGAAAGAGAAAAGGGGATAAAAAGCTTCGATACCGAGCACCGTTTTCTTCGCTTAGGATGCCTGCCGAATTTTTTCCCTTCCTTTCTTTTCTTTCTTTTCCCACGTGCTGACACTTTACGAAACAAGGTTACATCTAGACGACATGGGCTAAGGGGGGGTTCCAAAGAGGGCCAGAGCTTGATGGTGCGCAAACGGCCCATGGGAAACAAATGTGGTTGGCGAGGAACGGCACGGCAGTTGGGGGCGGCGGCGGGCTCCAATTACCACTAGTGAAGCAACCCAGGGCGGGAAAAGTAGATGTGGCTTGCGGAAGATCGAAAGAAAGCCACTTGGGTGGGCGATGGATGCCATCATCCCAAGTCTGCGCAAGCCCGTGCTTCATTAAAGGGTTGGGGGGTTCGTCTCTTCAAGTGGTCTTCTTGGCTCTGTAGCCTTGGTACAATGGAAACGCGAAACCTGCCATGTTGTGGTGGTTCTTGTGCGACGTTGGTATTTCGGGTTCAGGGAGGGAAGTGAGCCACAGGACCTACAAGAGAGTGACAAGAAAGAAGGCTCCACGACGGAAAAAAAAAAAAAAGAGTCACTGTTTGCCAGTCCACATTCATCTCATCTATGACGACAGCTGAGGCGGGCAAGTTCAATTTGAATTGATAAACCGGGGTTTGTTGTTGTTGAGATGAACTACCTACAGTAGGTAGCTCCGGATACCCTTGTCGAAACAAAGTCTTTGCCCTGCGGTCCAGAAAAGAGATCGGTTGTGACGGAAAAGGGCTTTACGTATCCGTGACATTTCTCCCCGATCTTGAGAGAATGAGAGGCGGACGAATGAAATCAAAAGTACTTCCGTCCGGATGAAGTACGAGTCCCCGGCGCTGGGATGGAAGAGGAAAAGAGGCAGTGAGCTGTGCGTGAGGTTGAGGTTGAGGTGTGAGCGAGTGTGAGTGTGAGAGTGAGAGCGTGAGGTTCGAGAATGCCGAGCCATCATCGTCATCGGGCGGGCCCTCGTGTGGGGCCGTGCCTCGCTGATCACCCGGGAAGAAACACCACCACCAGCCTCTCACGCCTCTGTAATACAAATCACCTCAGTCGCCAAGCGAGGTCGGTCGACATGGGGGGCCCCCTTCGCAGACGGGGCGGGTTGCAGCGCAGCCAGCCATGAAAGCTCTCTCGAATGCACCTTTCTGTTTACCTTCCCAGCCAGTAAGGTGAGTTCTGCGAGTTTCAGGGCTTGAGGCTCATTCATCTGGGTCTGATGGACGGTCGCAGGGCGGCTGGTCCAATGTGCACCAGGATCGTACTTTCTTTGCATGAAGGTTACCTGTTTTATTCCTCTGTCCTATAAACAACTTCTCGGGGAGAAACGAGACGAATACCTCCCAGGACCCCTTTTCGCTGCCACAGAAAGACGAGACGATTCGGCACTTGTCGGCGAGGCGGAAGCGAGTGCGGGAAGATCAGACACGGGACGCTCTTCGGGTTACTTTGTGCGACAAAAGGAGACAATCGGTCGTTTCTCAGGGCTCGCGTACGCATACCTCAGTGTCTTGAAATCCGAAAGCCAAAGTTTGTTGTTGATACAGCAGAAGCTCTCCCGGAGCGAATCCCGAGGACCCCCGCCCGCTCTCCGTCATCTGTTCATCATGAGGGAAGGTTTGCCCGTCCAATAATCGGGAAATCGGGACTTTCAGCTTGCATGGCATTTTCATGGCTTGCGAAACTAGATCAGAAAGGGAGTATAAACGAATAGTCTGGACGAAGAGATAAATCCTTGAAACGTGCCCTGTCCGGGTGCAGGGGGAGCCGCTGCAGGCTATCCGGAGGTATGTCCGGCTCGGAGCCAGGGTGTGTTGATGAGCTCCAAAAAAGCACGTAACATGGCACACAACGGTAACACCTTCTGTTAGTGAATTACCTCTCATTTTGCTCAGAGCTTCCTTCTCTGACGACCGACATACAGTAGACGCCCACTGAGGCCTACCAATTACCATGGGATGTGAAATGTCTCGGCACCGTGACGGGCAGCTGGGTTGCCTGTCATACCATTCTGCTTTCCTCACTCGCATGATGCACCGTGGATACGTTCCTCTGACCTTTACTTAACCTCTTCACACTGCATGTATCCACATCGCGTGCGTGTGTGTTCCCTCATGCATCATTATTAATAGCCCTGCGGTGTTATCCTCCCATGCGTGACAGTAGGTAGGTAACGATTTAATCGGCTCGCTGAGGCTTCTTGGCCCTCACTGTGTTCAATAGTGGCGCGAGGCCCTGCAACATTGGGTTTGCTTTTTTCGTGAAAGAGAAACGACATGATCTTCGTAGCGTTGCAGTTAGATGTAGATTCTGCGAAAGCCAGCCCCCAGCCGTTTCCAAAACGAATGGGAAAAGCACTTCGCCAAGCGAGTGACAGGTTGAGTAGGTCAAAATGTACTGCCGTTGAGCAATTGTTGGCGACGATTCCCACAAGGCCGATTCGCTTGTTCGGGAGGAGCCTGCTCCAATTCTCTCTCTACCGAGCCGACGGCCGGTTTCCCGAGGCCTGTGGATGTGGTATCTGTCACTTAGAATGGAATCTGCAAGGTGATTTCAAATCATGGAGAATCGAGGAAGACCCTCCCGTGCCTCCCAAAAATTGTACGGGGATCGAAGTAATCGAGTCATCTGCATTGGTCGAGAAAGTCCAGCAGATCGATCTCACGCCCAGGCCGAGCCGAGCTCGGGAACAGCAAACCATTTGTCTCACATTCTTTTCTTTAGCTTCAACGGTCGCGCCCTCTCCACGCATGGGGGTTCGTAAGGACGCTTCAAGACCAAGTGGAGACACGGTTCTTTTCGGAGTTTTGCCTTTGGCGCAAACAAATTATTGCGGGATATGCCTCTTGTGAAAGAGGTGTAGCTACATGAACTCGCCATGCTTGAGGCATTGTGCAACATCATGACGCCAGGGAGTCCGGCTTCTCAAGCTTTCAGTGCACAGGGTTGAGAAGCCTAGCACAACCACCCATGAGAATTTCTCTGGACGGAAGCACGAAATGGTGTCTACTTGAGGAAACAAGCAGACACGCATAAATCAGCTTTGGGACAGCACTTGCATAGCACACATTGCACACTTGAAATTGACACATGAGAACTGGCTCGTATTGGTGGGGTCTTGGTTGAAGTTCATTGCTTTTGGTGTAAATGAGATCCTAGCTCAATGGCATCCTCTGGTATCGGCCATGGCTAACCCAAGTTGTTCCCCCAAACGCCAAATGTCCCACGCCCCTTTTTGTCCATTCTTCCATCGCCTTTTTGGTGTTCCAACGCTTAGTAGAAGAAGCCGATGACCTTGCCGGCAACGTGCTTGCGACGGGCCTCCTCGTGGTCCATGATACCAGCAGAGGTGGTGAGGATGACGTAGCCGAACTGACGGGCAGGGAGCAGCTTGACAACCCACTTCTCGAGGTCGGAGAGACGGACGTTGTAGCGGGGAGAGATGACACCGCACTTGTTGAGGCGGCCGTTGAGCTGGACAACGATCTTGCCGGAGCGGTGGTCGTCGACCTCCTCAAATGACGAGATGTAACCTGTGTTGTTGCTGTTTAGCGATGGTGTCGCGGTGGTTTAAAGCTTAGACATCAGGAGAAGAAATCCGAAAAAGTTGTAAGACCTCCGCTATCTATCTATCGGCATCTTATAGGGGCTGAGTCGTGGGAATCGAAGACGGTCGCCCTAGTTATCATGCCGAATGTACATCCATCCAAAAAACGTCCTCCGAGGTGAAGAGAAAGAAGAAGTAGAAAGCAAATCGTGTTATGTTGACATACCGTGACGCTGCATGACCTGGAGGAACTTGACGATGACCTTGGAGCTGGGGCGGATGAGCACCTGGCGCTTGCCGGCCTTCTCGGCGTTGTTCATGCTCTTGAGAGCATCGTGGAGAACGGAAGTGCGGACCATCTTGGCGGTTGGTGTATGCGGAGATTCTCAAGTCTCGGGAAATGAGGTATCTGCCAGCGAAGAAAATTGCATGTTAGCCTTCCAATGGGCCTATTGAGCGTGGAGAGTGCCCTCCCAGGCGACAATCGACCAACAGGAGGGTTCTGCCAGCTCGTTGCTGAAGAGGAGAGCGTATCAGATGTCATCGTCGTCGGCGTCGGGCAGCCGCCAGCCAAGGGGCTACCGCATCGTCCGTCGAGGCGAAGATGGAGGTCGAAAAAAAAAAATCGGTATCTCGTAATCGCACGACTCGTCTGATTGCTCTCCTCCGGCATCAAGGAAAAGGCAAGAAGTTCCTGTTGGATCAAGTCGCCATCATGGGCAAACAAGGTGATTGTGCCTTGTTTCTTTTTTTTTTCTTTCTCGACTTACCTCGTGGATTGAACGGTGCCGCTGAAGGGGTGATTGGCAAGTTTGTCGGTGAGAAGATCGTGGTGGAAATTGGGGCGCAGAAAAGTCAAAAGGCTGTGGGAGAATTCCCCACACTGCGACGAAAAAAATTGGTCGCTTGTGGGTGCACGGACCACCCACAATTTCTAACCCTCGAAAGGGCACGGGCGAAGTGACCTTTCCACGAATGATCTTTCAGCGCATTTCCTGCTTGTGCCCTCGCATCACGCCAAAAGTTCACTTTATTCATACACTACCCAAATTACAACACAACATAACTCTTCGAGGATCGAACCGACAGGAACTTGACCAACAACTTTCAAGATGGTGAGTTCGCACCGAGAACCCCTCCCCAAATATGGCTCCCGAACGACCGACGCCTCCCGATTGCCCGCAATGTCTCCAATTGGGATTACCGGGTGCTTGGAAGTTGTCGCGTGCGCGCAGGCCAATTGGGCTCATCCCACTTTGGGGGATGACAACGACGATGTCGACTTGAAGAACCTTGGAGGAACACACATGGCTAACCATTGCCCTTGCGCATCGTACAGTCGGACGTAGAAGAGAACAACGCCCCCGAGGTGGCTGAGGAGGTCGAGGTTTCCGCCGATGCCGGCTCCAAGGGCCAGATGTCCGTTCTTGACGCCCTCAAGGGTGTCCTGAAGCTCGCCCTCATGCACGACGGTCTTGCCCGCGGTCTCCGTGAGGCTTCCAAGGCCCTCGACCGCCGCCAGGCCCACATGTGCGTCCTCAACGAGGCTTGCGAGGAGGAGGCCTACAAGAAGCTTGTCATCGCTCTCTGCTCCGAGCACAAGATCCCCCTGATCAAGGTGCCCGACGGAAAGCAGCTCGGCGAGTGGGCTGGTCTCTGTGAGTACACACCTGCGGCATATGCTGCCACATATTCGCACACCAGCGTCGGCTAATAGAGATAATCACAGGCGTGTTGGACCGTGAGGGCAACGCCCGCAAGGTCGTCAACTGCTCTTGCGTCGTCGTCAAGGACTGGGGTGAAGAGTCCCAGGAGCGCTCCATCCTTCTCAACTACTTCCAGACCGAGCAGTAAATTTGGGTATGACTTCATGATTTGAATTTGGGCGTCACTATGGGGAGAAGGATTTTTAGAGGGGTGGCGGGGAAATCTGGAACCGTCGCTATGAACGATCTTTCGGTTGTACTCTAGCTTCTTCAGCTGGCATCTCGAAACAAAAAAATGGAGGACTCCCTCTGGAGGTCAGGTCAACATGCATCAAATACAAATAAAGAGAAACGGCATTGGGCACTCTTGAACCAAACAAACGTGTGCATTATTGATATTGATGTGAGGCGATTGATGAGAACTGGTATGGTCTGCCTATTTCCTACCCTCGACCTGTGTGTGCGAGTCAGTACAAACATGTTGAGGTCCTGTGCAGTCGAGCCTTACCATGATGATGTGGTATCCAAACTCCGTCTTGGCCTCTCCGTAGACGGGACTCGCCGTTGTACTGGCGCTCAGAGCAAACGCAACGTCCTCAAACTTTGGGTCCAGGCTTCCCTTTGTCTTCCAGCCCAGAGCACCACCTGTGAACCAATCAGCATGGGCACTCGCCCTTTATGAAGCTGCGTATGGATGTCACTCACCTTGTCTCGCCTTGTCCTCGGAGAACTCTCTCGCCACATCATCAAACTTGGTCCCGTCTCTCAACTTAGCCAGAGCCTCCTCCTTCTTGGCATGCTTCTCGCACTGATATTCTTGTCAGCTTGTAAAGTCCCGAAAAAAAAAATCCGTAGCTAGGAAGACGGTGCTCACCAAGATGTGCCGGACGTTGATGGACTGCGCGCCCTTGGCCGCTTTGCCGCCCTTGTCGTCGCTCTCACCCTTGGCACCCTTCTTTCCTCCGGCAGACTTGCCCCCGTCCTTCTTATCGGCCGGCTTCTTGTCGTTCTTGCCCATCTTGAGGTAGCTGCGGGGGTGTCGGGCGTGATGCGGACGATGAAATTTGAACTGGAGGGGTTGATGGTGGGGGAATCAGCTCTGCCGGCAACCCCCACCTTGAAAAGGCTCTGTCAACGGCGGCTGTGACCAGGAGTGCGGGGAAGCCAACTTCACCACCACATATGACCGTTGCGAACTCTCATCCGACAATATATTAACATGACCCCGAGTAAGATCTTTACTGTTTTCCCGGAATTCTCACCTCTTGGTGTTATTCCGTTGAAATAAAATTTTCACTTGTGTCATGATCCTTGTATCAAATGACCAAAATCATGGATTGGCTGACAATCGTCCTTGTCAGACTTTTCTTTTCCAGTTGCTTAGGTGCTAACAGCTTCGTAGCTCTTAGTATTCTCAGGTTCGTAACCAGAGACGATCCCTCAACAATTAAGATCAATTACTTTCGTTGATTATGTTGAAATGGGCTTTTACAAGTTCACACTATGTGCCCTCGATGTAAACTCTCCCATCTCCAGGTACATTCCGGGGAAGATTCTCAGTCTGGACGCATGCATACGTTACGTTACGTTGTATCCAACCGGCCAAATAGCGTCGATTATCGCAAAAGTCGCAAGGATGCGGAAAGCATAGAGACAAGACTCAGTTAGTGCTACTACTTTCACGTGGATTTGGGAGAGACCGGCCCGTGGAAGTCAAAGGACCGCAAACCCATGCCGAGTTAGTTAGACGTTCTCTAGATGTAAGCTTTAAACTTAGCTATCATTATAACAAACTATCGTCAGTAGATCCTAGATATCATCAGGTTCGGACCGAGACTCAAGTGATGGGACCCTCGTGCCCTCCTGCAGTAGAAGGTGAAGGGGTCAAGTGTCTGCACGAGACAACGATATTCTGTTTCTATCGAAATAGATTAAGTAACAACCTTCCAATCTCTCAAGACTTCTATGCGTTCACGGTCTGAAGTAAAGTGGCTACTTACTTGGAGGCGGGCTCCAAGCCACGTACCAAAGCTTTACAGATTCGGTGATATCTTGATCAACAGCTTCAACAACAATCCGAGAAGTCTAGTAAAACGTTAAAAATTCTCTAAGGGTATTATAATACACTATTCTCTCATTGACTCAACCGCTTTGCCAACCAACTCGAGGAAGGCGCCCTCCTCGATCCGAATATCAGCCCAGTGCCACCGGTCTCGTCGGACAAGATCTCTCTTCCTGCCCTTATCATCCTCCTCGTGCCCTACCATTTCGGCGTGGGTGCTAAAGTAATTGTGACCCAACATCTGTGCCACATTCCTGAATCCCTTGTGGAACATGCTCGACGGTTGTATCTCAACGACCGCGGCGCCGTTCTCGCGGAGAAACATGGTGTGCGTCAGTCCTGCGCCGTGGACGCCGACCAGGACATCGGTGGACTGTATTATTCGAAGTTGTTCGGGGAAGGTCATCGCTCCCAAGTCGATTACCTGAAAACTGGCGTCGGGGAACGCGTTCCGAGCTGCGTCTAGTAGGACGTCCTGGTCCAAGAGCTTGCGAGAGCCTCTTCGATCGATGAGAGTGACATTGAGTGGCTTGCCTTGTCGCCGTCCCGTCCCGTATTCGACGCCGAACTGCTGCATCACTCGTCGTATGAAGACTCTCAGCAGCGGAGCGTCCTTGCAGTCTCTATCCTCCCAGTCGTTCTGCCATAGCGGATTGCTCCCTCCGGCGAGTGGAATGATGACGTTCTGAGGCGTCTCGGAGAAGGCCTGAGATTGCGCTGGGTCTTCCAAGATCTTGGTGAGGCGAAGTGACTCACGACCTGCGAACATTCCCCACAGTGAGTATAGAGGCCCTTCTTCTTGGTTGTCCAAGAAGACTACCTGGGTTCGTGGGACGTCCCCGGGGATAGTGAAGAAAGGCTTGTCGAGATTGTCGCCGTCGTGACTGAGCCGCAAGACGTCGAGGGACATAACCATTGACCATATTTCCATGAGAGAGTGCCAGATGTTGGAGTGACCTTCCCTTTTCACGAGGATTGTGAACGGACGGCTGTCGTAGAGGCTTGGCGCTTGGATGGCTGAGGATGGCGATGCTCCGGCTTTGACCCTGACGAAGTTCTGGAATAGGAAGCCGGGACCGGTGTCGTACCAGTAGTTTTTGATATTTGAGAAAGAGATGATGCCATGTGATGATTCGTTGCCAGTAGGTTGTCGCACATCGCAGTCCAGATGAAATTTACCACTTTCGCGATCCAGTACGGCGCCCTGACCGATGCAGAACGAGTCGCGGTTGTCGTTAGACTGCGTATGACTGTGAAAGCATGTCAAGTTTGCGCTTGACTCTGGCGAACAGTACTGAATCCTTTGATCGCGGAGTTCGTTCAGGTATCGAGGGCCGAAGCGTTCGGCGCAGAACTCAGACTCTGGCAGATCCGGCTTGCTCAACGTCGCCAGTTCCGGTAGATAATTCGGGACCTCTTGCTTCGGCGGCCGTGATGTGGAGTGGAATGGGTTGTGGAGAAATGACAACCCGCCGCCAGTTTGTGTAGATTGCGACGACGATACAAAAAGGTAAAGAAGGATCATGACAAGCAGCGCCGCCGCCCCGGCCCGCTTGCTCTTCAGTAAATGACGCGAACGCATGGTCGACAAGAATAATGAGAGCCCATAAGAAGCCTGGCGCCGAAGGTTGTTCGGTTGATACTTGATACTGGGCATTTGAAGTCGGAAGGAGGTCAGAAAGAGACAAAACGTGACGTTAGTCCAGCCGATGGGGAGGAGGAAATGGGTGATAGACCCGTCCACTTCTCGGCAAACAAACGAAGCAGGCAAACCAACAATGCTGGAGGATGGACCTGTTCTTGGCTGCAAGGAAGGCAGCCTGAGCCCCGTCCGGAATAAACACCAACATGCTGCATGCCTGGCCAACAAAGGCTTAGGGGCGGCGGACGACAAGAAAGGTACACTCTACCCGCGCGGCCGACCAACTGTCGGAATACAGTGTATAATTTGTTTTCTCCCCGGCTCATGTGCGTCTACCAGCAGTTTCTCTTATGCACTCAGCCGCTGATAACTTTTTGTTGGATGGTGACGGCACCCGACCCCCCCCCCCCCCCCCCCCCGGTCTCCTGCAGGGGGCCATGAGAATGACCTCCAGATACGGATATGAATTGTGAGGGTTGTTTGCCGTCTACCGAAGGTAAGCTGGCACATGTTTGGCCCCTTTTGGGGGCAAAGAATCGCATCACAACAGGATGGGTGTATGGGTGGTCGTCGGTTCATCCAATGGCGAAAGTGGAGCTCTTCCGTTGTATCACCGGACAGACAAACTAATCGGCCAACCAACCTACCTTACTGTTAACGTGGCGCTTTCCTCAAATCCTTCTCTCTTTTCCGAGTCCGCCTCATCCTCACATCCGGTATTCTCGCCAGAACTCGGATTTTTGTCCAAGGAAATAATTTCCAGTGACTCGCCGGGCTTCGTCGGGCCCGAATCGCCTGTGTCAAATGTCATCTTGCCCACGTCCAATAGGCCCATTTCTTTCGTGGCACAGACTAATGGCCGATAACCTTAAGCTGCTGTTGGTACAGAGTAGCATCCCGGCGGATCTGATCAGGATCTGTATGAGAGGATGTGATGAGAGAGGGCCAGTACCTAGTTCTTGGGAGGCGCAGGCCAATGACAGATCGGGTTGAGTTGCTGTTGGTAGCAGCCCCATTATAGCTGACAAGGATTATCAGGCGAGTATTAGAGTATGGCAGAAAACCTGCGGTGTTCTTTCGTTTTTTAATTGAAGAAGAACGTACTCAACGAACTACTGAGAAATCAAGTACGGACACTATTAGATGACAACAGCCTTCCGCTCGCAGCTCAACACATCCGGTCAACTCTTCCACTAACACCAACACCAGTAGGAACACTCCTTCTCAAAAACAGGTACATATACCATGTACCATTTACTCTAAGAAGGCAGTCTTGAAAATTAACGCCAAGAGTAACAACGGTAATGACTGAGACGGAAAGATAGCCTTATGGATGTAAGCGTAATATGGCCGGGCGACTGTAGTGTCACCCATTCGGAAGCTTTACAAGGGCCATGAAGTTGTGGGCTCGTGTCTTGAACCAGGATCCTCAGAAGCAGGCCATAATGAAGGAGTGGCAGGCTGCAGCGCAGCATAAGCTCGGCCACTCCCCTGTACCAAACCCGAGTCCCGAAAGACTCTATGGATTCACAGCCATCTTCCGAAGTCAGCGGAGGAACTGTGCTCCCTATTGTTTACCATCACCATCTTGGTCTGTTAGACTACTAAGGACGTCAAGTTGTGATCTGCTCGTTTCTCGCTATCGACCAACGGCTCGTGTAGGCGATGGAGCCTTCGATTCTGACTACTCATGGCTCGCTGGCAGTTCTGCTAATTCTGCCAGCATATCTCGCGGCACTGGTTCAGGCAGCTTGTGCACCATATCCTGTTCCAATACGACTCGGCAATGTTTCATTGTCAAACGGCCAGGTAGCGAGAGGCTTGGAACTGGCCGTTGGGGAACCCGAGCAAAAATTTGCTTTCATCCCGCAGAGGTAATCAACTTAAACATTTGCTTTCCTCTTCACGGACTCTATGACACATTGCTAACGAACGCTTCGACTCAGTGGTCAGAATGGCACGTTGTTGTACGGCACCAACGGTGTTTGTACTCTTCGCGGCTCTGACAAGTGGCCCAAGGATGGCTGTACTTCCTTTCGAGGGGGTTCTTATGATTCACTCGCGTCCAAGACAAGCAAAGCGACAACACACGATGCTACTCCCGAAGATGACGGATGGCCAGATATCAACCCTGTTGCTGATACGATGAAACTCAATAGCAACCTTACGCTCGACAACTTCGCCATGGGCATAGCGTTGAGCGATTGGGATACCCAAGGCTATAAAGCCATGATGGGACTCGGTCTAGGCTCGAACTCGACTATACTGAGAGTCTTGAAGGAGTCAGGCAAGATTGCCTCGCGAACGTGGAGTCTCTTTTGGGGTCGCGGCTTTGGGATGTCCACTCAGCTGGATGGTCATCTTATATATGGAGGCTACGACCGAGCAAAAGTTTCTGGAAAGCGATATACCCAGCCCCTAACACCCAACATTGCTCAATGCGAGTCACAGCTCGTGGTGACGGTCACGGACCTGACCATGAACTTCGACAATGGTACAGACGTCAGCATTTTCCCGTCAAAGTCGAGCGCCATCTCCACCTGCATCAATCCAACGATTCCGGTAATGATGAGGATGCCTCTGAATCCTTACTTTTCTACCTTCCTCAAATACACGGACAATACCATTGACAACATGACTCGCTCTCTCGGTTATCACTACTGGAACATGAAATACCTTCCCGACCAAAAGCCGTATGTCCCCCATATCCCTGACTTGTTCACAGTCCTCCAAGCGGCTCGGGTCAACTATCCACGCCCACATACTGACAGAACTTGTGCCCATAGATATGACGGTGCCTTGACAATAACGCTCTCATCCGGCCTAAAAATCCGTGTGGACCGTGACAACCTCGTCCTACCACACGTATTACTCGATGAGCAAACGGGAGAGATGCTCGTGAACGCAACAGAAAAGGACATGCTCTTCGACTCAATGCAGCAAGTCAACGAAAACGACATGGCACAGCTCGGCTGGCAGTTCCTTTCCGCCGCCTACCTACAAGTCAACCACGACACGTCCGAGTTCTCGCTCTGGCAGGCAAACCCCACGTGGAACCAAGACATCGTGGCCCTAGACTCCGGCAACAACGACGTCGTCAACTTCTGTTCTTCCCAGTCCAACGACGGCAATAAGACCGTGAACGGCGGTGGGGACGCGGGCGGCAGCGGTAACGACTCGTCGGCAAGCCCAAGCTTCTCCGGCCTCTCACGCGGGGCTATCGCCGGAATTGCCGTTGGCGGAACCGCAGCTATAGCTATCATCGTCGGAGCTGTGCTATGGTTTCTCAAGCGAAAGAGGTCGAGGGCCCCTTCATTACCCTCGCCGGGCATCGTGCAGAACACAGCGTGGACGCCAGTGCCTCCAGGCCAGGATCTCCCTCCTAAGACACCACCGACGTGCGAACTGGACAATGGGGACACTCGAACCATGCGGCGGTACGAGATGGCGGGTTAAATATTAATGATAGGCCGACGCAGTCGTGCCAGAAATAATCTTACATGTTGATGACGTTTGAGAGGATGCTTTCTTCTATGGATATAGAGCCTGTTTTGTATTATACCTTACTATCACTCTGTATTCTCTTATACTCTAGCTTACCTCTTTAACAGAGCCAAGCCAGCAATTTATTATCTGCGACAACCAGCGAATATATGGTGCTCTACGGTGCGCCTTTATCTTTTTGGTGCTTCCGTTTTGAAGATATCGATGGCTTTCGATGTTGGTTTTGTGGAACGCGCACGGTCTCTGTGAGCGGTGTGTTGACCCCGCGACCATGTCTTAGTGGTTATGCCTGGCATTTGTAATCCAGCTGAAAGATGGATGTGAAGAAGTCAAGAAACTGAGACAGCTCGCAGGGATTCGGAAGAGAGGTAAGTTGACGTCTGGATCGGATTGGGTGTATTCTCTTCTTGCAAGACGGCCCGCGAGCTCTTCCGATACGGAGATTACGATGACCATCCACGGCGAACTTGCGATTTGTCATCGATCTTCAGAAACCCCTCTTAATTACTTTGTAAGCAAGAATGACATACAGCTTATCAAATGCAGCTGAACGATGTAAGTTCTATCCCCGGAACCATTTCGTCCGTCCGTGTACTGAGTTTCAGTGAATGCGGGGTCCGTGGTAGGCAGATCGTAGCATCGGAAACAGTTTCCAAGTTGGGTGCAAGTTGACCGCATCTCTAAGGGTTTCCTACGATGTGTTCATTAAAGAGCTCGCCGAAATCCCTCTTACCACCACTTTAAAGATAACTGATCAGATTCGCTGGACATAAACGACTGAGACTCGGGATTTCAGCAAACATCAATAACTGTTCAGTTGACTCTATCCGTTTAGCACTGGATCCAATCCAGTTGACAACCATCCCGACAAATCTCCACAAAAAGCCGCACCAACCAGACCAAAATGGCATCTGAGAAGCTTCAACCGATCAGGGTCTGGACGTCCAAGAACGGCCCGAACCCATGGAAAGTCCACTTCGTCCTCGAGGAGCTCGGGATCTCCTACGAAGAAAAGTACATCGACTTCCCCGACATGAAGAAGCCGCCCTTTGAAAAGATCAACATCAACGGGCGCGTGCCCGCCATCGAGGACGACAACACCGGCATCACGCTGTGGGAGTCGGGCGCCATCCTCGAGTACCTAGTCGAGACGTACGACAAGGAGAAGAGGTCAATCAGCTTCGAGCCGGGCACGGCCGACTACTTCCACGCCAAACAGTGGCTGCACTTTCAAATGTCCGGTCAGGGCCCGTACTTTGGCCAAGCCATCTGGTTCCACCGGTACCACTCCGAAGACGTGCAGAGCGCCAAGGACCGGTACATCAAGGAGATTCGGAGGGTTTCCTGGGTCCTGGACCGGGCGCTCGAGGGACGCGAGTTCTTGGTGGGCGACAAGTGCTCCTATGCGGATATTGCCTTTATCCCCTGGTTCAATGTTGCATTCTACCCGTGGTATGACTTGAAGGTTTCTGGTGCTTTTGCGGATCAGATCGATTTTGCAAAGGAGTTCCCGAACACGGCCGCCTGGATGGACAGGCTCAGAGCTAGGCCTATCATTGCGGAGACCTTGAAGAAGAGGGCTGCCACTTTGTAGAAGGAAAGGAAAAAAGTATACTAGAAAGCAATCCGTCACAGGAGTTTAATGAGGAAAAGGAAGTCTGTGTTTGAGTCAGCGTGTTCATGAGAAAATACGCTGTGGTGTGCTGCAGATTACGACATAACGACATCTCGGCCCGAGAAACCCCACTCTTTACGGAAGAGCCATCCGGGCCCGCCCCGGGCCGCTTTTTGTCAGCCCAAACCAGACCAAGATCGACCCGGGCGGGCGGATGGGCAGCTCCAAGATCTCCCAGTGACTCCGCTGGGATGCGGGTAAAGCTCGCCCAAGAAGACGGACAGAAGCCCGCTCCATCGCTCTCGCTTCCTTGTGGTGTCGCATGCGATTCTTGTGTCCGCTACGGTGGGAAGGCCAGAGCACACCGGCCGAAAAAAAAGAATGTGTTGATATTGCGCTGCCGTTGTATCCGTATTAGTGAACGCAATTGGATAGAGCATGGGGATGGGCGATCGAAATGCCGCTCGGAGCCGATTGCAGCCTGGTTGTGTATCTTGCTTCGAACTGGTATACTTGCCTGTTTCGGACGAGTGAGAAGAGAAAAGAAACATTGCGTTTTTGGCACATGGCAAATCAGCGTCGATACAAAGTCGATTACCGCTCCGCTCTATACAGTACATTGCAAGTCTCGCGGCTCGCGTCCTCGCGTCAACCAAAATAGTGGAATTTTCCGGGGCAACCTGTGAGCTGCAGCCCAGAAACGCCCTACGAAAACGCATACGCGTATCCAGTCTATGCGAAAGACCGATATCTCCGAGTGCTAGATCTTCTCTTAGCTCGGCCCCAAAGGAACTCAGTGTTATCGACTGGCAAACGCTGCCTCACCGTCACTGATGGAGCTGGCTGTCGTTAGCCTTCTGGAAATAAACCGGGGGCTAGTACGATGCGCAAAGTGGGAGAGAGCCGAAAGAGAGAAAAGGCAACTTCCCTGTAGCGCCCGGTATGAAGTCACGTATCAGTGTTGCTAATCCTCAATGACTCAAATGTTGCAACTAACTCGGTTGTTCCTCCCGCTGTCGTCTGTTACAGTCTCAACTCTAAAGAGACTTCACACCCATATCCGCTGAACCTGATATCCAGGAAGTATGTTCTCTCGGCGCTTCAATCGGTAGACCTGAGGAGAAACCTTTTGTGGAAAAGGATGCAATCTTTTCTACAACGCCGGCGCGCGGGCATTGAAGCCCAAGCACAAATTGACAAAGACATCGGAAAAGCGCAGTCCGCAGCAGCGCCAAGCAGGCCTCTTGATGTAGGCAGGGACCTCGAGAACCACTCTTCTTCGTCACAGGAGGAGGAGAAGCGAGCAAGTCCACTCTTGGAATCACCAGACGACACTACCGCCACCAACCCCGAAAGCAACGAGCTCCACAACCATGAGGGGGAGCACGATGCCTCCGGTACCACCGTCGAACGGAGCCAAACGGCACGGACAGGACACTCCGAAGGCACGGCCCTCGGCCGCGTCCTAACCGGCATCCACGTCCGCGACCGGACCGGCGAAGAGGGTCACGGCGGCCGCGTCTTCGTCGTCGGCTGGGCGGGGCCGGACGACCCCCTCGACCCGCACAACTGGCCCACGGCGAAGCGCATCGGCGTGACGCTCCAAATCTCCCTCATCGCCCTCTTCGTCGGCTCCGCGTCCGGCATCGACGCCACGGTCCTCCCACAGGCCGCCAAGGACCTCGGTGTCAGCCAGGTCGCCGAGTCGCTCGCCACGGGCCTCTACCTCGTCGGCATGGGCCTGGGGTCCCTCATCGCGGGGCCCTTTTCCGAAACATTTGGCCGCAACGCCGTGTACGCGGCCTCCATGGCCGTCTTCATGATCTGGATCATGGCGTCCGGGCTGGCGCCCAACTTTGGCGCGCAAATCGTCTTCCGGCTCCTGGCGGGGTGCTCCGCCTCGACGCCGCTCGTCTGCTCCGGCGGCTCCATCGCAGACATGTACAACCGCCTCGAAAAGACGTGGAGTTTCCCCCTCTACGCGATTACCTGCTTCGGCGGCCCCATGATCGGCGCCGTCATGGGCGCCTACATTGGCCCTTCCGACGCCGTGAGCTGGCGCTGGGTGGAGTGGACGACGCTCATCTCTTCCGGGCTCGTGCTGGTGCTTGTCCTGCTCTTCATGCCCGAGACGTATGGCCCGCTGCTCTTGCAGTGGAAGGCCGCGCACTACCGCCGCATCACGGGCGACGACCGCTTCCGCTCTGAGCACGAGATCGTCGACGCCACGCTCTTCAGCCGTCTCAAGACGAGCATGACGAGGCCGTTCCTCATGCTGACGGAGCCCATCATCATCGCCATGACGCTGTACATTACTGTCGTCTACATAGTCCTCTTCACCTTCCTCGTCGGGTGGCCCTACATCTTTGAGTACACCTACGGCCTCGACCAGGGGCTCGCCAACATCATCTTCATCTCCATGTTCGTCGGCACGCAGGTCAACTTCCTCTTTGTGCCCTTCATCTACGCCAAGACGGCGAAACGAGTCAAAAGTGACGGCGGCAAAGCGAGCTTCAAGCCGGAGATCCGCCTGTGGTACGCCACGTCCGGCGCGGCCGTCTCCGTCCCCATATCGCTCTTCTGGCTCGGCTGGACAAACTTCGCCAGCATCAGCGTCTGGTCCGCCATCTTGGCGGTCGCCGTCTTTGGGTACGGCGTCACCGGCATCTTCATGTGCGTGTACATGTACATAATCGACTCGTACGAGATCTACTCGGCGTCGGCGCTCACGTTCGTCGCCCTCATCAGGTACATGGTTGCGGGAGGCATGACCGTGGTTGGAATACCATTCTTCGAGAAGATGGGAACGCACTATACTCTGACCATTCTCGCCTGTATATCAGCTGTGCTTGCGCCGATCCCCTATGTTTTGTATTACTATGGCCACTGGCTCAGGGCCAAGAGTCGCTTTGCTGTATCAATGTAAAGTAGTATCATACATCTAGACAGCGTCACTTTTCTCTATCATATAGCACATTACACTGCACATACCAAGTATGTCTGTTCATTAATTGAAGGATAATCTTTACCGCCCTCCACTTCACATTCTCTCGAAGTCATCGAGAATGACCAGAAACACCTCGCCATCGCTGCCAACCTCCACCCCCGGCACTTCCCACTATCCAATGTTCCTGAAAGTATCCAATACCCCTTGTCTCAGAGGTTAGAAGGAGGGCATGGAGTCTTTTCAGCAGTTGGGACGGCGAAAATAGTCGAGAGATTCTTTACAAATCAACAACTCTTTATTCTCGAGGGTTTCTCCTATCCTTCCCCCTCCATTCCATGAACGTTTGCCTCCTGAGAGATGTTGCACTTCACACGTTCTGCCTAATTGCTGTGAGTCTTCTCAACTCCACCTAGTCCCTTTCTCTCTCCTCTTTTCCTTCTCGGACCTGCCGCATCGTGTGACATGAGATTGTTTTCTTTTTCCTTCGTAGCAACTCCTTGCCTGCCTCATCACCACCTCCCCTTTCTCCAAACATCATCATCGCCCCCCCCTGCGACGTGACCATCCAACATTGTTGTGTTTTTTGTCAAAGAAGAGGAAGAGAAGATAAAAAGCCCTACACGGAGTAGTTACACAAACAAAGCCATTGAATAGCTTGAAAATAAACGCCAGCCCGTGGGATGATGTTCCTCCCCGGATAACGAGGAGGTTCCCGACCATGCATATAATAATAGTAAAAAAAAAAAAAAGACACAAAACTTTACATCGTGCTGTCGTCGCTTCCGTTGCATTACCATTTCGTATGGGAATTACCATTCCCAAGGAATCAAAATTCAACGCAGCCAACCCCCTTTCGAGTCGTGATCATCATGGGCCCATGCGTCTTTGCCCCCCTCCTTTCTTGAGACACTTGGCGAGCGGAGTGACTACCTGCCTTGGGGTCTCGAACTGGCCATCTCGCCGTGTCGTCCACGGTGCTGCGTCGTGTCGTATGCCTGAAGCACTCTCGATTGACTCTCGTCTGCTTGGGAGAACGCATAGCCGCGCTGCTTACGCATGCGCTGCACTTGTCGCACCTTGCGAATTGCCTTTTGGAATTGCTCCATTCTGGGATGGGTCAGTGGACCATCACTCATAGGGGCTGTGAGTATGAGGAAGAAACATACCTTGGTCTGTAATCTTGGATGTTGTACTTCTGAATTTCCTGAATGTGATGGTATGTCTGCGGCATGTACATGCGCTTGGCAAACTTCCAGGCAAAATCGCGCATCAGACACATAATCGCGAGCGCAAACGTCTGCAACCAGAAGACCGGGCTGCTGTACAGCTTGGGAATAACGCCGTGGTACTCAGCTGAGAAGGGGATCATGGGCGCGACGGTACCGTACAGAGCAATGAAGCCCCACCAGAAAAGCATACTGCCGGGAATGGCCATGACGTGGTACTTGGTCCAGTTGTTCGTGATCAGAGCCGCCTTGCCGAGGACAGTGAGCAGGACCGCAGCGTACATGGCCGTGCCCCAGACCCAGTGACCGGCGATTTGTCCGTCGCCTTGGATGAGTTCACCGTACCAGATGAGCTGGCCAAACACGTAGAGGATGATGGAGTGATACACAGCGTTGGCGACCCACTCGGCAAAGACCTTGATCTTGAAAAACTGATTTTGCTGACCCATGTTGTACAACTGCGGGTAGCGGTCGAGGAGTCTGGCGGAAATGAACTGGTCAAGAATACCCAAGGCGAGAGGAGGGAGGACGGTGTAGAAGACGTTGTAGAAGGAAAGGGTCCAAGACTCGTAGATGACGGCTCCCGAGAAGACGTTTTGGAAGGTGTACTGGTCATATTAGTGATCAGAAGTCCTCGAGTCGACTAACAATAAACTTACCCAAAACTGTGTCATGTACAAGGTGATGTTCTTGTAGAAAGAGAATAGAATGGTCTTGGCAACACGTTGGTAGCTCCAGGCGCCGTGAACGAGGAGTAGCTTTCTGAGGTACCGGAACTGGCCGATGGATACATCAGCGCTTCGGGCGGCCTGAAGACCTTCCATACCGCTGATGCCCACACCGATGTGGGCAGCCTGAATCATTGACACGTCGTTGGCACCGTCACCAATGGCCAGCGAGATGGCATCCTTTTGATACTTCTTGACCAACTTGACAACAAGAGCCTTTTGGAGGGGAGAGACACGGCAGCAGATGACGGCCTTGCACATGATGGCGAGGTCAAGGAATTGCTTCTCTAGATCCTTCTCCAAGGCGTAAGTCAAAGACTTGCCATCGATTACGAGTGCGAGAGTCTCCGTTTCGATCGTTCCGTCTCCCTGAGTGCGAATGGCTTCGAGTTTCTTTTGTATGTTGTCGCGGGTTGCCTCGGTACTTTCTTCATTCACAATTAGGAGCATCATGTCCTCGCTCAGAAGCTTGCAACTCATTCCAATGTTGATGGCGGTCTCCTGGCGATCGC